CCGATGTTTCAAGCGCTTGAAGTGTTTTGTGTATGGGAGGAAAGGCATAATCTTTCCACCTCGAACTGGCTTGTGGCACATCCTCATGTTTTATAGGTAAAGTGTTAAACCATCTAATAAGCAAAGTGATTTTTTTATATGGACTTTGTCCGCTGGACATCCACAACTCTTAAAGGGCAGAGAGTATCCACTACTGCTATTGTTTTGAAGTGATGCCTGTTAGAATATAAAAAACATTTCCTGACCACAACCAAAAGCTTGAGCTTTTGGTTGAGTTGGCTTCTTGACATGGTATCAGAGCTTTGTTGACTAAGAGGTCACAGGCTTGAAACTCAGCACCACCCAGTTTTAAAAATTTTAAGGTTTCACGTGCAAGGCTCAAAAAGACAATGTCTGCACGTGAGTGGCGTGTTAGAATACAAAAAATATTTCCTGGCTTGACAATGAAAAATTTAGTACTGATGACAATAACCCAACACATAGTGTAAGGCGTGGTCTTATTTAGATATATGATTCAATTTGAACCCAACGAATGACTATTAAAGCAACTTCCACATTTAAAAGCAAAACCTTCTAAGTTCTAATCTTCCTCTTATACACACTCCCTCCGTCATAGAAAGAATTCCACAGTATCCTTATTTGGATGTCACAAAAAAACTTCAGACTTTTACTATTTCCTTTAAAGCTAACTTAGCTAAGGAATATATGCTACAAAAATTCTCTTTTTTAAAGCAAATTCCACCGACACTTTTTTTCCCAACACTTTTACAAATTCTGTAAAGTCAAAAAATAAAGTTCTTTGTGAGATGGAGGGAGTATATTTTATTGCAACTCTATGTGTTTAATCAATAAAAGTACTCCATTTGCCCCTTTTTTAGCTTTATACTTTTGTTTTTCATTCATCCCAAAGTAATATCTCTCATCTCATTTTAAAGATCAGATTTTGTGGTTGTTGATATCAACCGGAATAACCACCATGTATCCACATTCTAAAAAAATGCACGAAATCAATAGAGGAGATTAAAAGGAGGAGGTAGTAGATACTTCTCTTCCTCTCCCTGATCTAATGTTCTACGGAGTATATTTCAACCTTAAATGCATATATACTAGAAGTTCTGCCGGTTATTAGAATACTTGAATGTCACTATTTATCTCAACTCAATGTTATTTTTTAATACATAATCAATGGGGCATAACTGTGCTGCTTGCCTGGGAGAATTACCATCAGTATAGCATATTTCGAAGGAAAATTAATGTAGGTAGTTAAATGGCTTTTTAAACTGGTTATAAAGTACGATGAACGCTAAAAGTAACGTTATGATTAAGCAGAACTAAGTCAAATAGAATTTAGTTCTCACCCGATCGATTCCCTCAGGGAGCGGATCAACAACAAAAGTAGGGATTTCTTCCATGAGATTATCCGGTCGACCCGAATGCAACACGCGGGTGAATTCGCCCATATCTGATCCGGGCATGTCCTTTGTCTTCTTGTACCAATAGTACATGATACGGCACTGCCACTTGCTGTAGGGAGCATCCGTGGCCGTGAGGGCGATGTGAAATTTCGGATTGCTGCCGTGCGGCCGCCGCCCGGATGACGAGTCTCCGCCTTGAACGGTGCTGGAGGCTGTTGCTCGTTGGTGGATGAGGAGCGTGACTAGATTGTATGTGGCGAAGAAGAACCCCAAGGAAATAAGGACCAATACAAATGGCGACACAGGTCGACCGCCAGCGTTCTTTCTCCCTCCTCCGCCAATCATTCTCTCTCTGTCCCTAAACTGAGTGAATGGTAACAGTAGAGACAACCTCTTAAGATAGTAGTTGAGAGATCTCTTGGACTTTTTGACTTTGGACTTCGGATTTGGAGACTGCCACAAAGTCACAAACAGCAGCACCGATGATGGAATTGGGAACTAGGAACCTAGTAGTACGGCCAATACGCGTATTATAAGTACGGGTGTATAATACGCGTATTATACGCGAATAAGCTAACAGAGCGGCCAAGTAGCCACCTACTCCGTGATCTTCATCTTTCATTTTTTGGCATATCATAAAACACTTTTATCCTATCTCAAATGTAAAAAGAAAACTTTCAAAACAATTTCTATCCATAATAAATATGAAATATGATAAATTTTAGGCATTTTAGATGTCTGTAGAAATGTTTTATAGGATGCGCAAAAAATGAAACAGAAAGATCTTTTTGGGACAGAGGGAGTATTATTTTTAAAGTTTTTATGATTTTAAAACGTTCATTTTATGGAAAAAAAGGAGTGTTGGTGTCTATTTTTCTAAACCATAGGAGGAACACATGCTCATTTCTTATTTTTCATTTATTACTTTGTTTTTTTCCCTTCCTTAACTTTTTTATTTTCTATAAAAATATTTTTGATAAGTTCAAAAGAAAATAAAAAATACTAAAATAAAAATAAAAATATGGAAAAACGAAATGAAAAAAATTTGAAACATTCCAAAAAAAGAGTCTTATACAAAAAAAATACGGAGTAGTTTTAGAACACCTAAAATAATTCTTAGAATTGAGATGTTTAACAAAGATGTTCGTTTTTATTTTTTTTTATTTCATTTCTTATTTTATTCATCATTTTTTAAAGTTGTCAAAACAAGTTTTTAATTTTCTATTTTAGAAAATAAAAAATAAAAAATTTTATTAATTTAAGACGTACAGATCGAATATATGTTATTTTTAAAAAAAATAATTCTAAATTTTACGAGCATTATAAAAACAATTACAAAAATAAATTTAAAAACCTTTGATTGATAAAAAAACAAATGAAAAATATGAAGTAAGCACCAGTGCCCCTGATGGTTTGAAAAATAGGCCCCAATGCCCGCTCTTCGCCAAAAAATGGTCGGAAAATGATCAGAGGGTGTATGGGTGCAACATTTTGAAACCATGACGACTTCAAAAATATATTTTAAATTAGATGGGATATTGGTGCCTATTTTCCAAACCACGAGCGAGTACTAGTGTTATTTGGCCCCACTTGTACTTCCAAATTAAACTTAGAGTTTTTAGGGTGAGATCATGTTTTCTTCAACTTATTCTTATTATACAGTTCAAATGAGATTAGAAATGGCTTTAAATATATTAAAACATATCAGATCAGAACTTATTCCAATCAGATAAGAATCATTTTGATCAAGTGAAGAGAACAAGCCCCGAGTTCACCTAATCTTGTTAATCTTGATCAGATGTTTACAAATCTGATCGGATCTTATTAGATCTCTTGTCTGATTGGATTTCATTCTATTGAGTCTGAACTAACTGGGTTTGGTTTAATTCGATTGTATATAATCTTACTAATTCTGATATGATCTCAATGGATCTAATCTTGATCAATTTGATCTGAATAAATCTAATCTAATGTGATTCAAATTAATGTTAAAATTTTTACTCCCTTAGTCCTAAACTTAACTTCTTAGTTTGATTTTCTTAGTCAAAATTTTAAACTTTGACCGTAAATCACAAAAAAATATCAATACATTTACTTTGAAACATAGTTTTGAAATATTATATATATATATATATATATATATTATATATATATATATATATATATATATATATATATATATGTTGTACCCCACTATGCATCACAAAAGGGTAAGAAAAATCAGGGGTTAATGCTTGAGTGTTATAATCCTAATTGGGTTGAATTTATTCCTTTTTCCCATCAAAAAGCCCAACCCTTAGCCCTTGTTGCCCAAAATCCCCCCTAACCAAATCACAACCCACAAACCCTCTCCCACAACATCCAAACTCATTTCCTCTGTCCAAAATAAAGTCTTTGTTATTCATTACTAAGCATAGGCCGAAGGTGAACAACAAAATACAAAATAAAACCTTTGTTTATTTTTTTTCTTAGACATGATAATCGATTATCCAACATAGATAATCGACTATTGCTTCCCTCTGAATTCTCCTAACGTATTCCTGCAATGCTCCATAATCAATTATCTCCCAATAGAAAATCGATTATCACTCGTCTCAGAAGATATCCAGTTTGGAAGCCAGTCCTTGTTAATCGATTATCAGTAAGAGATAATCGATTATTACCTGTCTCTGAACTTAGAAACCAAAGTGGTCTTTGATTTAACAGTAAAGGTTTTGTCATTTAGGAACACACTTGGCTACATACCATTCCCACTATATATGGACGAAATTCCCATGTTATTATTCAACAAAATCAAAGACTTTTACAATACAAAGCTTAATCCCTGTAGGTACACGGACGGGTTTTTCAGAAACTAACTTATCATTATAGAACAGGATAATGAGTGATTTTCAGTTCGGTACAACAAAGGAAATAAGAGGGTGGAATTCCTGCTTTTAGTATGTAATTCTGGTGGGTTTTATGTACGGTTTAGGGACTAGTAATTGGAACTTAAGTTGAGTAAACCCTTATTAACACATGCACAACATTTGTTTTATTTTGTAGGAAAGAAGTGAGAAGTTTCCTTTGTTGTATTTTATTTATCATGTTTGTTGTATTGTTTTCTCCATTCCATAGCCTATATATTTCAGCCCTGGTTCATTGTATTAATTAGCTTGTAAAATATATATTGTGATAATATAAGTTTCTTGCTCAGCTCTCTCTCTTTCTAAATTCTATATATTAAATCCTAATTCTATATCTTAAGAGTGGTTCTCTTAAGTGGGAGTTTTAGATTCTAGATGTATTAAATAAGTTGAGTGATTCCTTATTTAAATACTAGAGTTTAACCCGAGTGGAGATAAGTGTGTGTGATTCCTCTTATATTCACTTGATAAATGCTTCTTTCCCTCTCCCTTGTTTTCTCCTGAATTCAGCCTCCCCTATATTTCTACACCTTCTCTTCTTCTTTCTCTTCTTAAATTGATATCCTAGACCACCCCGGGTCACGGGTACAACAATATATATATATATATATATATATATACACACACACACACACACACATATATATATATATACTACAAGAAAACGCCAAAAGAACGACGGAATTTGTAAGATTTGTAAGAATTGATCGCTCTAGCAGGTGATTCTACATATATATCTTTTTTTGCTTCTATACATGATTATAATATATATATTATAATATATTATACAGTTGTAAATATAATATCATGTAGTGTCATCATCACGGAGGAGGGAGCTCGAATAATTTGTTCCACATTCCAGCGGAGGCTCAATCCAACATGGGTAGTAGGAAAAGCCTAAGCGAAGCGAGAGTGGACTTTTACTAGAGAGAGTTTCAGAAAAATCGTCGTGGCAGTGACGAGAGTGTCCCTGCTAGCGCCACGCACACCGGTAAGTACTATTATTAACAAAAATTACATTAAAATGCTCTAAGTGGCATGTTTCCACTTATTTATATATATTTGTTTAGGGTAAAAGTGGACAAACTTTTGACTTGTACTCTTCGTACACACACACACAAAGAAACATGATGGGAAGACATACGTCAATAAGAAGGCAGAAGAAGTATCAATAAGTGACAATGAATATATATATATATATATATATATATATATATATATATATATATATATATATATTATTTAAGGGAAGTTATTATTAAAGATTAAAGTAAAGGGAAAAGGGGTGGCCCATGCCCCAACAAAAGAGCCGAAGAACAAGGAATCCAAACAAAGGGGAAAAGAACAAATAAACATCCCAACTAGCAAGAGTAAACAAAGAAAAGAGCTAAACACTAGACAACGAAAATCCTTCTGCCAAGAGGTGTCCCACGTTCTAATTCTTTTACCAACTGGGGTAGACAATGTTGTTTTCCTGATGATGGACAAGAAAGTAACTCCAATAATAGCATCAACCTCCAGGAACTTGCTCATCAACAAGTTCCTGGAGGTTCATGCCTTTATTTTATTGATGTTGATGAGCAAGTTCCTGGAGGTTCATGCCTTTATTTTATTTTTAGCGTTGTTGGGCATTGTTTGGGTTTAGTCCACCCTCTCCGTTTGTACTTTGTTTTTAATCTTTAATTTAATAAGATAGAGCATTCCTGGGCTCTATCACACCCTTAGTGGTGAAGTTTTTCAGGATAATATATATATATATATATATATATATATATATATATATATATATATATATATATATATATATAGTTTGGTTCAAATAAGAATAAGATCTAATGAAAGAAGTGAGAATAGTTTTAAACCGTCCGATTTACAAGATTGCAAATACTTCCGCGTCTGTTTCAACAAAGTCCGGAAGGTCACTTTGGGTATTTCCCTTGTGTCGGCATCTCTCTCTAATTAACATTATTCACCTTCCATCTTTTATTCCACAAGTTTCAGTTTTATATATGGAATGAAAAGTTAGGTTTCCTTATACGTATGAAATTGGAAAATTAGTTTTTACTAAGATGAATTAATTCAATTATTTTCAGCAACATAAGAAATCGTGGCGGAGCAGCGACGACCTAGATAGATCGCAGAGCATGAAGGAGGTTGGAGCTTGGCCTTGAACAAGTGGCTGAACCCCAAATCGAAACAGAGAGGGATAGCGACAACAATCCTATACATATGATGTGCAGTAATTGAGTTTATCACTTCTTTCCCTCTTTATTACAAGATTTACACAAATATATTTTGTGTTAATTTTTACATTATGTAAGGTTAAATGCATGTCATCTCCATCAAAATGATTTAACTTATTTACCCACCTTTTTGTGATTTTTTATTTAATTTTTTTCAAATTGTTCTTAAATGTCTAATGCATATTTTCCCATTGATTTCTTATTACTCTCTAATTATTAGATAAGTTAAATCATGTTTTTTTATTGGTTTAGTACATGTATTTTCTTTGCTCCGATCCATTAAATATTCTAATATTTACATCTTTTGTTTTTCTTTATGCATATGTTAGTCTGTATGGTGCATATTGTATGTAGGACTATTGCCTTTTCCAAGGTAATGCATTCTTATTCACAATGTTGCCAAGAAAAAAAATTGAGGCCTTATTTTTGCTATTGTGAATTTTTATAATGCTTTAGAACCTTGAATTTTTGGCCTATATAGAAAGGAATTAGACCAACTGCATTTTTATGTATTTTTTTAAGTTTTTGTCAACTAAGGGTTCGTGTTATTATGCATTATCAGGACACATGTAATGCATTTGCATGATAAGAAAATGCATTATAAGAAACAAGGTAAGGATAATAATGCATTCTTAGAATCAAAGTGAAGTTCATTTATGAGATGGTGAAATTCTCCTAACATAAATATGATGCATCTATTTATTCTAGATAGTGAAATATATCCAAACAGTGATGAATTTAAAATGTTCTGTAATTATTTCAAAAGTCACTCTCTGCATGTATAGATGCAAATAGTATGCTGCGAAGCTTATAGATGGTGTATTCTTTCGAACAATGGGTTTGTTAATGAAAAAAGTGTATTTACGTCCAAAAAAAATGTTAGTAATAAATTTCAATATGAGTTAAAATTTGTTGAATGATGCTATTTTTCAAAGCTTAAAATGCATATTTCATAGGTCCAAGTGCACGATGAAAATTTCCTTAAAAAAATGGTTGCCTATTAGCTCAAATGGTAGAGCGGTATATACTACAGATGTGGGTTCAAATCCCTCATTGGCAAATTATTTCTCATATTTTTCGTTGCACTTGTTCTGAATGCAATGCATTCTCAGAATTTCTCATTACATCCAAAGTCACTCAAGACTTATTATTAACAAATTCACAAACTAATAGGATTAAATTAGAATAAAATTTAAAGGACAAATTACAATGCATAAATTGGTCTTCATAGTGCATCCGCTTTAGATCCGTCAATGTGGATATCACAGTGCATCTTCCCAAACAAATCCTGAAAAGTGGGATATTAAAAATCCTTTCTTAAATTAATTAATTATAATTTTAACTATACAATTTTACTCTTTTTGAAATTAGACAGTGAGATAATTAATTCCTGACGGAGGGGGTAGATTACCCAAAACACCATTAAAATAAATACATCGAGTTCAAATTGTAAATAAATCTAAAAAATATAAATGTTTTCGGAATAAATATTATCATTCATAGTGAAAAATGTAAAGAATTTTTTTTGCACTATGTGAAATGTATTAAAATAAAACAAACCAGAGACATAATAAAACAAGAATGCATTTCAAAAAATTATTTATTATTGATGAAAACCATTACTTAATACTTCGTATGATAGTATCAATTAATAATGAAAAAATATCCCACTTTTTAAGGAACTAATAAGGGAAAATAGCTCATCTTAAGGAGTATCAAATATTGATTATGTCCATTAATAATCAATGCACGATTGCATTAAATTAAAATCAATCCACGATTTAATTGCATTGGTATCAACTTGACTTTACTGCCCCTACACACCTAATTCCTTCCTAATTTGATGGGATTGATTTATCACTTACCGTATCCATTGGAAAATGGAGCCATCCTTTAGATGTAATTTAGGCCTTTAGATTAGCCATATCAACGAATATAATTCATTCTCATTTCTTTCACTGAAGGTCTTTCTCACTTGAACCGGCCCCTATATATATATATATATATATATATATATATATATATATATATATATATATATATATATATATATATATATATATATATATATATATATATATATATATATATATATATATATATATATATATATATATATATATATATATATATGTAACGCCCTGAAAATGGGTCTAGAAGTAAACAAATAAATTATAAATATTTTATATATGTTTTTTTAAATAACATACGGAGTATTATTTTTGTTAAAAAAAAAGATTTACAAGTTAAAAAGTCATGCAGAATTAAAGTATTCAAAAAAAAAGTTAAAAACAAGTTTGTGTCATGATTTTGTTAATAAAGTTAATACTAAAATATAAGTAGATATTACTAACACAGAATTGCACTTTTATATTTTGAAGGTGTAAATTTTATAATTTATCAAGAACAAAATGTATTGTGATAAGTGAATTTAATACTTATCCAAGTATACACACGTGGCTAGTCATGATGAGTAATGCCACTAACCCTTGAGCTTATCCCTTAGCATGTTGGCAACTTGATCAAGACTTAATACTTAAGAATAGGGCTATATATATACATGTGCATAAAATAACTTAGAACCGCACATTACTCCGTAAATGATAAAAACTAACAAGTACTTGTAGGAGCTTTAAACTAAGTCTAGGGTAAGAACTGTTACAATTCTCGTACGAATTACAACGGACAGGGAAGATGAACGGCCCCGGAAAATAAAAATAAATAAAATTCTGAATTTATAATTTATTCAGAATATTACAAAATAAACAAAGCTGAAAATAAATTGCTATATCTTCAAACAGCCTTGCTGTACGAGGGCATTAAGGACTGGACAGCGAGGTCTTTAAGCACTGGACAGCGAGGTCTTTAAGCACTGGACAGTGAGGTCTTTAAACACTGGACAGCGATTCAAGGACGTTATGCACAGGGCTGCGAGGACATTATGCACTGGGCTGCGAGCACATTATGCACTAGGACAGAATGCAGCGAGGTCTTTATGAACTGAACCTGCAAAACACAACACCGTGGAAGGACAGCGGAGTCGCCGGAGTTGTCCTTAAGGTAGTAGTGCCCGCCTACCGTACCGGAAAACGTGGGCACTCTCCTCCCAGGATAAAACCGCTATCGTGTGTGGAGATTGTACGGACCAACCACACACCAACGAACAAGAACAACGTAGGAACGTTGACGACCAAAAACCATAAAGGGGATGGCCGGAAAAATTGGCCGGAAAATCAAGAGCTCTCTCTAAAGAAAATAATAAAATGTTTTCTCTTTTCTTTCTCTCTTCCTCACGCAAGGCACACACAAAAAATGATTGAGGGAGCTTTTGATTTTATAACAAAGGAGTTTAAAAATTGTAACTCCTTCACCATTAACCCATGGAATTAATCATGGCATTTGTGGTGTGTTAATGGTGATTAATTAGCCATTAACACGTCCGTTACGCTACGCTCTGTTTAAAATTTGTCCCGAATAATTGGAGATTAATGGCCAGTTAACTCCGTAAAAATGGACTAATTTTAAACAATACGAAAAATTAATAAAAGAAGATTGGTTCAGTAAAATTGCAAAAATTGCAATCCTCACCATATTCTTTTATTAACGGGTTAACTCAGAGAATCAATTTCGCATTCACCCTCTACCATTTTTGGCGTATAAATTGTCAAACATTTATCTCATTTAAGAGAACACACGTCCATTAATAAACGGTTAAAACCGTTAGTGGACCTATTGACAAATATACCCAAATTGGTCTATTTAATGCCAATTAAAATGCCAAAAATTCCAACAATCCCCCACATGAATGAAAAATTGATTTGAGGTCGACAACATCCCATGATTGGAAACCTGCAAAGAACAGGTAAGTGTCTCAACTTTTGAACCTGTCCCTTGTAAAGTATACCTTCTTTACTGGCTGTTCAGTAGAACGCGATGTCTTTGAACTATACTGCCGCTTGTGTAAACGATAGTATACCATACACAGATTCCAACCAAACGTCGTACTGTTCTCATGGTTGTGCCCATTTTGGTCGTGGGACACGCGCCTGGTTCTGCGAGAGTGTTTAGAGGATTAAGCCCAAGATCCTCCGTCTGAAGCGACCACACTTCACTCTTACATAGGTGATTCTTTAAGAGTATCCCGATTACTCCCCTTAGACCACCGTGTCTATTGGTTAAGAATCATTAAAGCATATTTATATGCTAACCTCATCATTTTCGGGAGTCACTGTCTTCAGCAGGAACAGAAGGGACTGACCGAAGGTTCCGGTACTGCCCCCACAGTGACCACGCTTTATCCTACAAGTAGGTTGTCCCATTGAACCTGGGTACCAGCCAGGTTGGGTTTTCCTTCATAGGACTGTCCTAGCACAAGGGCTTCAGACCCATTCCTGCCACCAACTTCTCATGCAACTCATTTGTTAACCCTTTGGTTAGCGGATCCGCCAGATTATCTTTTGACTTCACATAGTCAATTGTGATAATCCCAGT